ATCTCTCTCCATTAGAACTCACAAGCTCTCACAAACTCATTCAAGAGGAAAATATCAGAAGCAATCATTCATTCATTAATCTCAAAATAATACAAAGGGGGCTTTAAATAGCCTCATACAAAAGACTCCAAATAACATGACACAAATGCCCTTAGGCTTACACATGATAACTCCCATAAAAAGGGGTACAACGGGAAATAATAAAACACACATAAGCAAATAATAAAATGCATGAAAATAAAATACATCGACTCAAAAATATAAAGACTCGATCGTGGCCGTAGATCGGCGGCCACGTCGCTGGTAAACTTTCCATGATGATCTGATGTCCCCATCAGTTTGTCCAATGAACTCTATGCTTAATTGGACTATATGACTTGGATCATGCAATACGATATTCAATTAATATTTGATATTGATTCAATTCTTGGTTCAACAAACAAAATTAGGCAACCTTGATTAATGATCGTATAGTACGAAAGACTTTGTACAATACAATTAGGTTAAAATTCAAATTTTGAATTTTATTAATTTTGGTAACCAAGATTTGGCAGCATGGCCTTATCAAAATACTTGATTGTCCTATATGATCATAAGTCATTCAACATTATTAATTATGCTAAAAATTAACTTAATTAATTTAATTAAACCTTTAATTTAATTTCTGAAATAGCTAATTGTACCGTACGATTATGATCGTTTAGTATGAGCAAGCAGAGAAAATTAAATTAAGTATTAAATTTTCTCACCCTCTTGTGTGCTTGCCAACATACTCCCAATACAAACTGACTAAAGAAAAAAAATTACAAACTTTTTTATTGCAACTTATGACTAGATTTATTGTTGCACTAAGTTTTTTTCTCTGGCTTGGCTTAGTGTATGCTGTACTTGAAATGATAATAACATACAAGAGAAACATATATATAAATAACGTAGAGAACCTAAATGATCAAACCTATAATATTTGCAATTAAAACCCTAGGTCGGGCTCACGCGATTCAACATATACAAGTGAACCAAAAAAGGAAAAAAAAAATACAAGTGCACTGAAAAAACGTGCAAATATATTGCACAAATGCATTGAAAAGTGTGTGCATATTTTAAAAGAATTTAATGTACTCACATGTGCGTTGAAAAAATGGTAATAATGCAAACATGAAGTTTGAGAATGTTGTGCGGGATTAAAAGTATGTTAAATTTTTATTTTTTAAATTAATTACCCGTAGGTGTTCTAATCTTTGCATTGAATTTCTATATTCAATATTCGAGAGTGCTTCGTGGGCCATGCTTGAATTTAAATTTTAAGTTCAATCTTTATCCTAGAAAGAATTGAAGTCAACAATACTTGAATTAATGAATGAATACATGATTGTAAAATCTATGGAAATATTTGATTTTTTTTACATTCACATGTGTCCTTCAAAGTCTTCTTCAAATGGAATTTGTTATAAAGTATAAACTCTCGATTTCAATATTTGTATAATAATTCACAATATCAATGATGAATTTGATTTTTTGTTGGTGAACAAATAAAATTGACAAGTCTTAGATAATAAAAATACAACTCACTTAAAAGAAATCCCAATGATGGCGATGTTGAAAGTGAAGCTCGACTGGCGGGGACTATCTTTCTAAATGCCTCTAAACCCTACTAAAATACAAATATATTCAAAATGACTTTATCATCAGCCCAATAATGTTCATGATGAAAGTACATTTAAATCAAATAGGACTTTGTCATCAAAATGCCCTCAAATTTTAAATTTAATTACTTGGAATTTAAATTTTAATAAAATTTAAAAATTTACTTTATGTCAACATATAAAATTATTAAAGTGAAATTAATCATCTAAAATTTAAACTATCCACCCTTCATAACCATTTGATGAGAGAGATGAATTTAAGAATAATATCAACTTACAAAGAGCGAATGTCTAGTTGAAAATATTACGAAGATTCATTCTCAAATAATTTTCCACCAGTAAAGATGTGACATATCCTCTAATTAGTGGTTTGGCCGCAAAATTGCTCGATAAGTAAATGATTATGATTGGAGCACCCTGATTGGCTGGTTTTGTCGTAGATAGGCAACATTATATTACTGTAAGTGCCAAAACACGTACTTTTTTTAATGGCTAATACCTTTGAGTAATGAATCAAACAGTATGCTTAATAGAGCACAAAACTCTGTTATTTTTAAGATTAACTTGAATTTGTCTCTTAGATAAACATTCACTCCAAGCTTGTAAGGTACTCTTAGATGAAGTAACTTATAGATGCTGACAAGGATCTTTCAGCCAGGTTAGGTTAACTATCTCCTCTAAGATAACTAAAGATAACATAACCTAGAATGACGAAACCATGAGATTTTAATTAGGCTTATCATCATTCTCTGCATTATTTGTTTTAAGTGCAAGATGGTAAATTTCTAATCCTAAAATATTAAATACGTTATTCATATATGCTAAGTATTTAGTGCCTATCTAACAATTAGCTTTAATTGATATGCTCTCTTATCACTGGGAAAAGTAATTAATTATGAGGGCTTGCGCCTATGAGAAATTTGAACTCAGATCTTAAAGTCCTTGTAAATGAGGGCGAAATATTTGGGTTGTATCTTATTTCTAACATAATTTGTCTTTTAAAAAATTAATCTAGAACTTAATCCATTTAAATTCTTTTAAATACAAGAATAGGTCGGGGCGTAAAATTTTTGGCAGGCACAGAGAGGTGTTGCGAAACAATGATATTCACATGATTTAGAGTGAAGTTAGGGTTGTGACACTAGGGCATAGAGCGAGTAGCAATGTAAAAGGGTTTCTCGTTTGAATTAATATTTTTAATTTAAGAATATATTTTTACTATGATTTGATTTCATTAATTAATAATATCTTACCATCACTTAAATATATTGATCTTACTTAGTTTATCTTTAATTTTAATAAGTACATAAACAATAATTATCAACAAGCTTAAAAAATTAAAATTTATAATATAAAAATGAATTAACATTTTCTTATTAATTTTAATTTGTTATTTCATTCTGGTAAGTTTTTATTTAATAATATTAGTTATCCTTTTTTGAGAAAATAATATTCTAATAATATTTAAAATGTAAACTTTAAGTTCCTATAACTATAGTACTAAGTTGTATACTTTTTCTCTTAACAACTTAAAAAAATATTTAATTTGTAAATTAAAATTCAATATTTTTTTCTGAATTTTTTATAATAATTAATATTTTTAGATAAAAATAAATTCTTAAATTTCATTAAAAAAAATTGTTGTTGGGCAATGTTGAAAATCTTTTCTTATACCACTTTATGGGCAACTAGATTAATTTTGATTAGTAGATGTAATAAATATCATTTGTACCAGGTCTCATAACATGCTACATGTGGAAGCCCTTTTATGTCAGTTTTCATCTACTTCATACTATTGTATGCTATGAGTTTGTCGAACCACATGCTACATGTTTCAATTAGAAGTAGACTGACGAAGTCATGGTGGTTATTGTTGCAATGCTGGTCTGGAAGAACTTTAAATTGTAATTTCAACGTCAGCTTCTTCTTTCATGGCAACCATACATAATTGAGAAAATGACTAATCTATCCACACTTGCCATTGAGACATCACCTCATTCATGGGAGAAATTATTACGTGCGGAGTCCGGATGAGAGAACTGTCCGGATTTGCTGAATATTTAAAAATATTCAGCAAATACTCAACAAATATTCAGTTGCGAGTATTTATTAAGTATTTGCTGAGTATTTATAAATAATCAACAAATCCGGACGGTTCTCTCGTCCGGACTCCGCACGTAATAATTTCTCCATTTATGGGTATTTAGTAGTTTGCTTATCCTAGAGTCCACTAGCCTTTCAGACTTAGCTATGCAAGATATTTAGTAGTTTGCTTATCCTAGAGTCCACTAGCCTTTCAGACTTAGCTAAGCATCTTGCATCTGAACTGAGAGCAGAGTAGAAATCATCTTTTTTTCTTCATGCAATGCCAGAACTTACCCTTTTTTTTGTTTTGTACTGGCATACAATATTCACACAAACTTATCACATGAATAGGAAGAGTTTCTCTACATTAATGAACAAAGTTTCTTACTTGATCCACTGCTCAAGTTTCAACTTTAACAAGGCATCTTTTTGTGAAGATTCTTTCTGGAAAATGATTAATTCATTAGGTGATGGTTATGCAAGTTTGCGAAGGTATTGGAAATGGTATCATATAGATTCCAGCTGAAACTTTCCTTATTTTTTAGTTCTGGTTTGTTCCTTGTTAGTGAGTCCGTGTTCTCAATTGCCCACAGCAGTTGTGCTGATAAACCTAATATTTGGTAACTGGAGTAAAATCCCACAGCTACATAAAAATCCTGACTTGTGACAACTACATACTTCTGCCACATTAATTCTTTTTGGTGCATATCAATGTCATACGATTCTTTCTGTTGAAAGTGAATGGAAGCTATAAATTTGGTTGGCAGAGAGTTGAAACGAGTCATGTCATCATCATCATCATTAGCTTTCCTATTTATTTTGAAACTGAAAAGAGTCACGCCCTTAGTCCATATATTTGTTTTTCCTTTTAAATTGGGATTTTTTATTATATTTTATTTCCTATTATCAAATTTTCTTTGATGTAGAAGAGACATCCTAGTGCATGTGGACATCTAAATGAATTTTCTAATCTGATATTGCTGTGCCTCAAACTTTGGGTGGTTGGAACTGTGTTTGAAAATCACGTTAACAACCTACAGTAGGTTGTAGTTTTCATCAGTTGTCATATTTATTTATGGATTTTATAATATGAAATATAACAGCTAATCAGTTTAATACAAAATTACTTGTGTTTTCTAGAGATGAGGAGTTTTGGATGGCAGTATTCTTGCAATGTTGTGATTCTTTTTTTTACGTGCAACAATGCTTGGTTTCATTTTTTATAGCCTTAATTCTCTTTTTAGTTGAATTTAAATTTAATTTCCATTCTAGTCTTAATTGGCAGCATCAGCTTTGCAAGAATCCACGCCCCAACCCTGACATTAAGACACTTTTCACTGACCACTCATGTGCACCTGCTAATGGGCCACGGCCTGTTCCTCCTACCAATGCCCCCCTTGTCGGGCCCTTACCTAAATCTGGCCCTTTTCCTCCATTGGTAGCTCATAGTGTAAGTGAATGAAACCATTGGTTTATCTGCACTCCTATACATTCTTATTGATGTCGTATGGGTGATCTTTCTCCTTGTGCAGCCATTTCAAACTGTAGTCAACCCCCCTGCAAGTGCCATTGCTGGATGGATGTCAAATGCCAATCAAACATTACCTCATGCTGCTGTGGCTCAAGGGCCTCCTGGTCTTTTGCAGCCTCCAAACATGTCATCTGGTTGGCATAAATTTGAATGCTTGCATCAATATAAATATTTAATATTCTGTAATGTTCTTGACTATAACATGTCATGTTACTTGTAGCTGCTTTTATGAAGCACTCGAGGGCTCCTACAAATGCAACAGTCATGGAATATCAAACTATTGATTCAGAGCACTTGTCAAAGAAAATTCGGACTGGGCACTCTGATGAAGTATGCGAGAGCAAGCTTTTCTTATGATTGACGAAGTATATATAGCCATTTAGATGGTTGCTGTCTAGTATTGTTTCATTGTATTTACTTTCTGTTGTCTTTGAATGTGATTTAGGTATCATTCTCTGGTGCCATCCATCTGGGTAATATTTACACTCAGGATGATCTTCCCAGAACAGTTGTTCGGACACTAAATCAGGGTTCTAGTGTTATGAGTTTTGATTTTCATCCCCAGCATCAAAGTTTTCTTCTTGGTATCTCCTACCACATTCTTCTGTTAAATGCATTTTTATAATCCCGATAGTTATTGTTGAACATATATATATATATATATATATATATATAATGCGAAATAAAGCAACGCATCTTCCCAATCCAACCCCACTACATGTAGTTAATGCCCAAGAGATGCATCTCTTCGGCAACTCTAAGCAATAAAAAGAGAAGAAACCGAATAGAAAAGAACTTATGCTCTTTTTGTTTTCTTCATACTCTTGTTTTGAGTTGTTCTGCGGAGTTCAATTGTTCATCTTGGTGATGTTTATAGTTGGCACAAATGTCGGAGAAATCTCCATTTGGGAAGTTGGATCTCGCGAAAGAATAGCACATAAGGCTTTCAACATTTGGGATATTTCAGCCTGTTCCATGCCTATGCAGGTTAACTTTTGTATTACTATTATCAAGCAGAATCAGGTTATTTAATGTGCATGTGTTTTCCTCTCTCTTCCTGTTCTTCAAAATAAATGTGCTATACTCTTAATGCCATTCCCTATATAAAGCCAATTTTTTTTCCAGGCAGCCCTGATGAAGGATGCTACAATTTCTGTAAATAGGTGTCTATGGAGTCCAGATGGATCCATCGTTGGTATGCTCCAGATTCAAGTCCTATGGTTAAATTTATATGCTGCTAGTCTTTCGTCATGCTCACTAATGGATGAGCTCCTATATTTTCTATATTCAAGGTGTTGCATTCTCAAAGCATATTGTCCAGACATATGCTTACACTCCAAATGGAGAGTTGAGGAATCATTTAGAGGTAATGTACATGAACATGGTATTGTATTATGCTGATTATGACAGGAATCTAACAGGAAAAAAAAAAATTCTTTCCATAGCTTGATGCTCATGTAGGTGGTGTAAATGACATTGCATTTGCTCATCCCAATAAGAGTTTGTCTATCATTACATGCGGTGATGACAAGATGATCAAGGTCTGTTGCACGACTCTGTTTTTTTTTTTTTGGTATTTTTATTTGTAATTAGACGTTTTAGCAATCTTTATATGAATTGTAGGTGTGGGATGCAATGACAGGTCAGAGGCAGTATGTATTTGAAGGGCATGAGGCTCCTGTATATTCAGTCTGTCCCCATTCCAAGGAGGCTATCCAGGTTTTTTCTGCAAAACAAGACTTAGCTTTGCTTTCCTAGGGATCAATCTCCTTACCTTCTTAATGACCAAAGAATTTTTTTTATTGTTAGTCTTTGATGATTTTCTGCATTTTCCCATTAATGTTTCACGAGAGGACCTGAGGTGATGAACTTGACAAAGATCATTTCAATAAAAATATCTAACTTTGTGCACATGCATGCAGTTTATATTCTCGACCGCTATTGATGGGAAAATAAAAGCATGGCTATATGATTGCATGGGATCTAGAGTTGATTATGATGCTCCTGGACACTGGTGCACTACAATGGCTTACAGTGCAGATGGATCTAGGTGAAACTTGTTTGTCTTTGCTATCTAGTGCATCTGTTGATTTAGTATTTTGAAGTGAACATAAAACTAAAAAAAACAACCTTTTAAATTATATGTAATTGTTTTTCTTATTCTTTTACGGAGGGTGAACTTTTAATAAACTATTCTCCCATATGCCTGCTAATAATTTAATCCTTGGCGTGGCCATTAAATGAATCAATACTAATGTGCGAATCTATGATGTTCATCATCTTATTTATGTATGTGTTACATGCTAATGCTGCTTTAGTTTAACATATGGTTTTGCCACTGTATTATTATTATTATTTGATATTTTGTATGACTGTTTTTGCAGGCTCTTTTCATGTGGAACTAGTAAAGATGGAGAATCCCATCTAGTTGAGTGGAATGAGACAGAAGGGGCTATTAAAAGGGCTTACTCTGGCTTTAAGAAACGCTCTCTTGGTGTAGTTCAGTTTGACACCACTAGGAATCGTTTCTTAGCTGCTGGAGATGAATTTTTAATAAAGTTCTGGGATATGGATAATGTCAATATTCTAGCCACCACAGATGCTGAGGGTGGATTACCTGTTAGTAACTAGCCTTTGTAAATGACCGAACCCATTGTGTCTTAACTTAGGAACCATTGATTTTTTGTTTAACTGTAATTGCAGGCGAGTCCTCGGCTAAGATTCAACAAGGAGGGTTCTTTGTTTGCGATTACAACAACTGACAATGGGATAAAAATACTAGCAAACGGTGATGGACAACGTTTACTTAGGATGCTGGAGGCAAGGGCTTTTGAGGGTTCTCGAAGCACATCTCAACACATTAGCACGAAGGTAAATGTATCACTGGTTAATTCTTTGGACATTGATAGCATTCTTCTCTATTTCAAGAGCTAATTTCATTCTGCTCTGCTATAAAAACACCAATTTACAGCATTATTGCTGACTTGCTACATATGTGTAGTAATTGAAGAGCTAGCTCTTGATGTTCTAGAATTTAGCCTTACCAACACAAAACATCTGATATAATGCTTGTGGGAAAATAACTAAAATGGTCCCTATTTTTTTATGAAGGATCAAAATAATCCTCAATTATATTAAATGGTTATTTGATCTGATGTGAAACTATCCCATGTGAAAATGATTTTCTTAATGAAAGTTTGCATGCTTAGATTTAGAGGCAATAATAGGCAAGATCTTATGCGGAATTGAACGATAAGATAAATATTAAAAGGCACTTAGCTTAGGTTAAATCACATGAATAAAAGTTAAGTTCAAAAAGACAGCCAACTTAATCCGACATTGCATACATGGAT